ATAAAATATAAGAACTTTCTAACACTTCACTTGCTGAGCTTTTTTTTAATGGACTTGTCCAGTCGTCCATTATCAAAGGTTATATTGTTTCCGGATAACAGGCCAACGGTATATAGCATTTCCAGACTACCCGGATGACGAAGGATATTCATGCACTTCCGGTTCCGTCATGGCAAAAGCTAAATTACATTCTGAATAAGTCGTAGGATTTTTACAAAGGGTTTACAAAATGTATAAAAAGACATCGAATAAACAACTTAAACGTCTTATTTAAGGAATGAGTTAAACAGTTATTGTAGAAATGCAAATTAAATTTGCCGCATTAGTTCAAGTAATGCATTGATTGTCCATGCTCTGGCACATTGTTGGCTCTGACTTTTTGCCTATTTTATGTCTCAGATTTACTCAATGTTTTGATCTGCTTCGTTTTTAACATAGAAGTCATAATGATTTTTAGTGTATCAGTACTCGTGTATCATTTAATGTCTCCAAACAGAGACATAGATAACAGAGGAGATAAGCAACTTCCTAGCCTGTTAAAATATCGCGCATGCTTGTTAAACTTCAAACTTGTAGCAAGGAAATCTTATTAACCAGATGTCAAAATCAGTAAAGTAATACATTTTATGAAAGCTTATGCATTCGTCTATGTCTGGCAGGTAAAAACAATTTACAGTTTCCATTAAATAAATGAGAGAATTCTTGTAAATTTTTGATACAAAACATTCATGGCTAAACTATGGCTTATTGGGTATGTTCTGGCTATGTTTTTTCTAAGTGAAAGGCATAGAAAGTTACCAATATTTTAACATGCAGCAATAGATAAAAGATTTACCTTTCAATGGTGTATAATATAAAAAAGATCAAAGTACATCCATTAAGTTTTATTTGCTACAAAATGTCTAATTTTTTCACTTTCATAGGCATGGTTTGATATTTCAATGTAGTATACAGGAGCTGCTTATCTCTGTTATCTACATCTTCTCTGCTCCAACTACTCATTTTTTATCTGCTTACTTCATAGCATGCAAGTCATAGTGAATTAATTAGTACATGTTACCTCGGCTTCTGTGAAATGAACGGCGTTAGTTCCAAAGTAATAGCACGATCCATCAAACGCGAGCCATCCATCATAGCAGCCCGTACTGTGTATCCTTAAAACATAAACCTAATTGTTCTCAAACGCACACAAATAAAAATCATAATGAAATAAAAGAAAGCGGCTTCAAGAAAAAAATTCGACTTATCAGCCAAAAAGTTTGTTTTTTGTTGGTTTGGTTTTTTACGGCGCATAAAGAATAATTTAGGTTACATGGCCCGAAACAGGAAAGATGAATTAGTCAAAGAGAAATGTAAAAAAAAAATTCCAAATATTCTATGCACAGTGTTGTTTTGAACTTTTTTGGAAATACGTGCACTTTAATAACTCAGATTCAATTTTATTATTATATGTGGCAAATAATTCTAATTTTATTTGAATGTAAAAAACAGTACGAATTACAGATCTGTACCAGTTTAAATGAATGTAGAAGAAATTTAATTTACCTGTAATGCCACATAACAATCCGACAAAAAATTCAATACAAAAATCATTTTGTTTCATCTATATATATACATGTAGATATACATGTATATGTCTAGATATCGTAAATTTTCGTACCGTTCTGAAAAGACATGCATGCACTTCAAGTTTATACGCAGTCTTATCAGTAAAAATTTTGGGCAATAGTTTAAAGGGACTACACTAAGGATTTGTGACACGATGGACTGAACATAATTTGTCGAGATAATTGTTCAGTTTAATGTAGATAAAGACAAATAACTTGTGCGATAAATTTCAGATCTTTCGCCCCACTCCGTTTTACTAAAATAATAATTCTGTGACCAGAATGGAAAACGTTTGCAACGCTTTTCACTTAGATCGGCTACGAATTGCACACAGAAAACATTTTCAATTTGTTTTCTAAGTATATTCCTTAATTGCTTTATTGCACATACATGTATTTTTCCGTTTCAAGTGCCCCCAGCTGTTCTTTCGTAAAAAATCAAAGTTTATATTTAAAATAGCCAACACAAAGTTTTTATAAAGTTTTAAACATAAAAAATTCATTTTTCCTCATATGTTAAGTAATGTTTTAGTAATAGATTTAGAGCATATTTGATGTTTTTAAAAACTGAAGAAAATAGCGCTGAATGTGCAGTAATGTGTCATAAAGGTAATGAAAATGTGAATAAAGTAGTATTTTGACTTCGATACCAAATACTAATCCACTTTAATTAAACAAATTTCCAAACGAAAAAATACGGGTTACGGTGGCACAAAGGTGACATGTGTGTGTTTTTATTAATCTCGTGCGCACGAAATACTATGTCGTGGCCACGAGTTATTAAGTCGTGGCCACGATATAGCTAAGACGTGGCTACGAGATACTAAGTTGTGGCCACTAGTTAAGAAGTCGTGGCCACGAGATAGCTAAGTCGTGGCCACGAGATACTATGTCGTGGTCACGAGTTACTTAGTCGTGGCCACGAGATACTATGTCGTGGTCACGAGTAACTAAGTAGTGGTCACACGATAGGTAAGTCGTGGCCACGAGATACTATGTCGTGGCCACGAGTTACTAAGTCGTGGGAACAAGATAGCTAAGTTGTGGCCACGAGATACTATGTAGTGGCCACGAGTTACTTAGTCGTGGCCACGAGATAGCTATGTCGTAGCCACGAGATACTACGTCGTGGCAACGAGTTACTAAGTCGTGGGAACAAGATAGCTAAGTAGTGGCAACGAGATACTATGTCGTGGCCACGAGTTACTAAGTCGGGGGAACGTGATAGCTGAGTCGTGGCCACAAGATACTATGTCGTGGCCACGAGTTACTAAGTTGTGGCCCCGAAATACTATGTCGTGGCCACGAGTTACTAAGTCGTGGCCACGAGATAGCTAAGTCGTGGCCACGAGATACTACGTCGTGGCCAGGAGTTACTAAGTCGTTGGAACGAGATAGCTATATAAGTCGCGGCCACGAGATTAATAACCAATCAGATTACACAATTTATATGAATTCCCCTAATTAACTAGACATGTGCTATAGTACAAGGATGCACCTACTTCACCAGTCTGTAAAAGTGCCATTTATACAACTTATTGACTGGTCTTATCGTCACTGTGACCCTGGTTTTTGACCAAATGACCTCGAAATTATTAGATAAGGTACAATGATCTTTCTTGGTTATATAAAACATGGCTTATCCCTTCTAAATTATTCATCAGAGAAGGATTTTACCTAAGAGGCTATCTAATGTCCATGGGCAAATGGGCAATGCCCCTTCCAAATAAAATAAACCTGAACTTATTCCTTCTCATGTTATCGTATAAACAAGGTTAACAGGCCCTAGTACGTACAAACTGACCAATTCCATCACAAAATTTCCCAACAAAGAGCTATAGTCAAAATTAATGTCTGATGAGCCTTGGAAGGTGACTTTCTAATATGATCCTTAAGACAAATTCAAAGTGAATATCTTAAGTATTTTTAAAGATTGATGTTGCATGTAAAAGTAAGTTCTTAAGTTTAAAAAATTCATAATATACATAGTGTATTATGATTGGTTAACTTAGTAACTCGTGACCACGACATAGTATCTCGTGGACACGACTTAGCAATTACAAAAACTTGTAAAGCGTTGCAACGCTTTTCATACAAATCGGGCTAAGAATAGCACTAAAATACGATTTTTAATTTATTTCTGGGTATAATTCTTTATTTTTATACCTTTCTGTATTGAGTGAAAAGCTGATGTTTGTCAGAAATTAAAATTTTATGTTTTGAGATTCTATTCCAAAAATTCTGTAGATTATGGGTTAATGGTGGTATTTAAAATGCTATGCATATGTAACATGACTGTGCAGCCGGATCAGTACCAGTCTCGCTGTACTATATACTGTTGTTGGCTCAAATTAGTTGCCCGTGGTTCTATGATATCACGGTACGTCACGTTTATCGGAATATATTGAATACAAAAATCATTCATGAATGACTCTTTTAATATTTAATAATTGATCCTTTTCCAAAACTGTTTTCTAAAAATTGATGTTATTAAAATCTCTTGGACAAAATAATAGACCGTTCAAAATGAAAAAGAGTGGAGCACTTGTTAATTTTAAGTGTTTAGCAGGGCATAAGTTTAGGTTTTGGATGACCATTATTGATCATGCTTAATACCTTAGTTGAACCAGAGACATAGATAGCTTTAACATATCTGGTTGAACATGTCCATATTTCACTTTTGGCAAAACTATTTATCATTCAAAATAATTATTGACTAAAGTGCGAAAAGTGCAGACCACGATCAGACGGACGTGCAAGCTGATTAAAGATCTGTGCTACATGGTCGCATTGGTTGAATATGTTGCCTGTAACATAATATACATGTATTATCACATAAACCGCGGCGCAGGAGTGTAATAAAGCCATTTAATAAAAACGATATTACACTAGTGTAATAACACTTTGACGTGACGTCATTTGCGCTATATAAAAACATAGCGTTAAAGCGCGCTAATGTTAGCGTTACACTATAGGCGCGTCGTTGAAAAATTACTCATTTTTACATTTTATTGTTCTTTTTTTATATTATGTGATAAATAGAATATTATATTCGTGTAGATTCAATACTAAATTTATTGAACTCGTTGAATAAAACAATATTATGCTCGCCAGAGGCTCGCATAATATGATTTTATTCAACTCGTTCAATAAATTTAGTATTAAACTACACTCATTCAATATCCTCTATGTATATTATAAGGATAAGTGTCACAGAAACGCTTTAAAATTGAAATAAAATGTATTTTTGTCAATCCTAGCAGATATACATGTATTTATCATAATATATATTATAAAAGCCGGTTTACATTTGCTAACTTAAACACTAGAATATCCTATATGGCTCGCAGAGTCAATGCAATGCCTCAGAATACTCAGAATAAAAACGAAAAATGTATTTATTCATTTTATTTTATTTACATAACAATTGTTATTCATTACTAAAACGAAATTGTTTTTCAAAATTACAGTTTTTTTATCATCCCACTATTTCCGTCTCGGTGCTCACTCCCCTGAAACAATAATATTATTGTACATTTCAAGAATTCCCAACATGTTGGGAATAACGTTAATTCAGTTTTGCATGTAAACTTCGTTTCAACAGAATGACAAATTTGCAACTTTAAAATATTGTATAGGTGTACCTTGAATTTGTGTGCATGGATTTTATGGAAACATTAAATGGCAAAGTTAAAAATCATTGCAAATATTTAATTCGCAGTGTTTTGTTTCGAACTGCAATTACGAAGAGCTAGGAATTATTTTGTTACTAAAAATAAAAATCAAGTTTTTTTTGTTTGATAGTTTACCTGCTTCAGTGAAGTTAAAAAACATATTGCGTTGTTATGTACTTCAAGTAAAGAAAACACTTACGGAAGTTCACAGATTGGGTAATTGTTGAGGAGGCAAGGTGTGTCTACCCATGCAAAGTCAAACCCTATGTAAAAGACGGCACATTCCTCGGCCGACCCGCCATTAGGTTCACCTGGATGCCAATCTGTGTTTAAGACATGCTCATTTTTATAAAAAAAATGATTGATGTGAATAAAAAGGCACGGGCATAAGGCCAAATCTAGAAGAATACTTAAATAGGAGAGCCCGCATTTTCATATTTTTTAAAGGAAAAAATCTACTCAATCAAAAATACAAAAATACAATAATCACAGTGGTGTTTCCACAATATGAACATACTAAAATATATCCCATATACATCCCTCACCAGATTTGTTGAATCTTTAAACAAGAATCTTCTAACAACACTACTTAGTATATATTTATGGTCCGGTTATACAGAGCTTGCGATTGCGATGCGATCGAGTTGCGATCGTAAACAAGCAACAATCGCAGCAAAATTGTAAAGGTCGCGGAAAGATTTCAATGAAAACGCCGACAAGTTGCGAGACAAAATCAGTCGCCGCCAGTCTTTTGAACATGCTAAAAAACCTGGCTGCGACTATTTAGTCGCAACGACGTCGCAACACGTTCGCAGCTGCATCGAAAAATGGTTGCCGACTGTTCGGCTATCAAGTCGGCGATAGTGTTAAACGAGATATTCGCCGGCTTTTCGCCGATAAAACGGCGACTTAGCGCCGTAGATGCGGCGATTTCTTTGCGAACTTGCTGCAACTTATTAATGACCAATCCTTCTGCATTCAGAAGCCCCGCCTCTGTTTATCGATTTTTACAGGTTCATTTTACCTCAGTTGCTTCAGCAGTTCACATCGAAATGCTTTGGTCTTCGAACGAGCCAGTGCTTAATCCAATATTGACGGCGCCTTTTTCTCAACAATCTTCTGTATTTCATCATTGCATATATGGCTGCATTCTGATAAACAGTTTGTATCCGAACAACTTGCATTTGTGTAGATGTTGCCATCCCCACAACTAGCAGATAAATGACTGATTTCTGCATTTTACAACATAAACTCGCCGATAAGTCGCTGACCTGAAAGAAACGGATCGTCGATCATTCGCTGACTAGTCGCAGAACATTTATAACAAATCGCTACCGATATCTGTCTCTGCGCCGGATTATTGCTGACGAATCGCCGAGCAATCACAGACTAGTTGCAGAACGAACCGCCGACCGCTCGGTGATCATATTTGTATTCCATATATGGGCATAAATTTGTTTCAATTGAAACTTCAGTCGCCGACAAATCAGTCGCAATGGAGTCGCATTGCAGTCGCATCTCTGTGTAACCGTAGCTTACAAAAACAAATTGGAAAAAAACACATTACTCCAGAGAGAAAAATAAATGTCTATTTTAAAAGAACATTATGCACAAAATTTCACGAACCGCTCTATGGAGGCGAAATAATGAAACAACGATGGCGAAAATCGTAATTTCGTGTTTTCGTTGTTTCGAGTTATGTGTGTGTCGCGATGGCCCTTACGAGACAGCGGTGGCCCCTACGGGACAGTGGTGGCCCTCACGGCACACTATAAGAATGTGATAATATCAAGGCAAACCTGTAAAGTTGGCAGTTTGTCCGTTATCAAACCATTTCCATGTGCCTTCAATTAGCTCATCTGTTAAACCCATCCACCAGGAATATGCTACAATTATAAATTCAGAAACCATACGGGGAAGGGTCGGACCGCAAAGCGAGATCGGACTTTGGCTTGCGCGGCTATAGACTACACATGTAAGAGGAAATTAAATAAAGAACAATTTAAGAATTCTATACCTATCAATAAAATTTTCAGTGTCAGTTTTAGCTGGGCGCCGCCATTTTCAATGTAACACAATGATAAAAGGCGGGGTATTCCGATAGCGGCAAAACGCAACTTTTCGGATTAATAATAATCGGTGAATGTTCCGAGTGTAAATGGAAGCGTTGCATAAAATACCGAACGACACATCTAAAACGGAAAAATGAACAATTTTTAACCGACTTCCCCGTTCACAGGTCTTGCCTAATTTCATATTCATAGTAAAAAAATAACTGTTCAATCATATAAAACTATAACAAACCGTTTTTCCGATATGTCAAATTCAAAATCGTAATCCAAGTAATGGTCCTGCAGAGTGATCTCCTCTTTATTTTTTTTGTACGGAGTATTTTATTTGGTCTAAGGTTTTCACGCGACCAAATCAACGCGCCGAACACCTATGGGACAAACATGCGCAAAACAACAACAACAACAACAAAACCCCACAAAACAATTAATAAATGAATTGTAAATTTCCACTTTTTTATCAATAAACTTTGTTATAGTTCACCCTGTATCACCACAATAGATCTCGACAATCTTGCATTGATGTTGGGGATGAGTTCCATTATGAATAATAAAGAAACACTCACGTTTAAACATCCGTAACCTGCTTTTGATGAAGTCATTTTCTTGTTTACTATCTACATGTATAAGATGCCCACCATTATGTTGTCTACAGAAATGCTAGCAACAAAACAATCATAAGATATGAGAACTTTCTAACACTTCACTTGCTGAGCTTTTTTAATGGACTTGTCCAGTCGTCCATTATCAAAGGTTATATTGTTTCCGGATAACAGGCCAACGGTATATAGCATTTCCAGACTACCCGGATGACGAAGGATATTCATGCACGTCCGGTTCCGGCATGTTTTGATCCTGCTTCGTTTTTAACATAGAAGTCATAATGATTTTTAGTGTATCAGTACTCGTGTATCATTTAATGTCTCCAAACAGAGATATAGATAACAGAGGAGATAAGCAACTTCCTAGCCTGTTAAAATATCGCGCATGCTTGTTAAACTTCAAACTTGTAGCAAGGAAATCTTATTAACCAGATGTCAAAATCAGTAAAGTAATACATTTTATGAAAGCTTATGCATTCGTCTATGTCTGCAGGTAAAAACATTTACAGTTTCCATTTAAATAAATGAGAGAACTTCTTGTAAATTTTTGATACAAAACTATTCATATGATGAAAAAACTGGCTTATTGGGTATGTTCTGCTATGTTTTTTCTAAGTGAAAGGCATAGAAAGTTACCAATATTTTAACATGCAGCAATAGATAAAAGATTTACCTTTCAAATGGTGTATAATATAAAAAAGATCAAAGTACATCCATTAAGTTTTATTTGCTACAAAATGTCTAATTTTTCACTTTTTCATAGGCATGAGTGATATTTCAATGTAGTATACAGGAGCTGCTTATCTCTGTTATCTACATCATTCTCTGCTCCAACTACTCATTTTTTATCTGCTTACTTCATAGCATGCAAGTCATAGTGAATTAATTTAGTACATGTACCTCGGCTTCTGTGAAATGAACGGCGTTAGTTCCAAAGTAATAGCACGATCCATCAAACGCGAGCCATCCATCATAGCAGCCGGTACTTGTGTATCCTTAAAACATAAACCTAATTGTTCTCAAACGCACACAAATAAAATCATAATGAAATAAAAAGAAAGCGGCTTCAAAAATTCGACTTATCAGCCAAAAAGTTTGTTTTTTGTTTGGTTTGGTTTTACGGCGCATAAGAATAATTTAGGTTACATGGCCCGAAACAGGAAAGATGAATTAGTCAAAGAGAAATGTAAAAAAAAATTCAAATATTCTATGCACAGTGTTGTTTTGAACTTTTTGGAAATACGTGCACTTTAATTACTCAGATTCAATTATTATTATTATGTGGCAAATAATTCTAATTTTATTTGAATGTAAAAAACAGTACGAATTTACAAGATCTGTACCAGTTTAAATGAATGTAGAAGAAATTTAATTTACCTGTAATGCCACATAACAATCCGACAAAAATTAATACAAAAATCATTTTTGTTTCATCTATATATATACATGTAGATATACATGTATATGTCTAGATATCGTAAATTTTCGTACCGTTCTGAAAGACATGCATGCACTTTCAAGTTTATACGCAGTCTTATCAGTAAAAATTTTGCAATAGTTTAAAGGGACTACACTAAGGATTTGTGACACGATGGGACTGAACATAATTTGTCGAGATAATTGTTCAGTTTAATGTAGATAAAGACAAATAACTTGTGCGATAAATTTCAGATCTTTCGCCCACTCCGTTTTACTAAAATAATAATTCTGTGACCAGAATTGGAAAACGTTGCAACGCTTTTCACTTAGATCGGCTACGAATTGCACACAGAAAACATTTTCAATTTGCCGCATTAGTTCAAGTAATGCATTGATTGTCCATGCTCTGGCACATTGTTGGCTCTGACTTTTTGCCTATTTTATGTCTCAGATTTACTCAATGTTTTGATCCTGCTTCGTTTTTAACATAGAAGTCATAATGATTTTTAGTGTATCTGTACTCGTGTATCATTTAATGTCTCCAAACAGAGACAAAGATAACAGTCCAAACAGAGACATGGATAACAGTCCAAACAGAGACATAGATAACAGTCCAAACAAGAGACATGGATAACAGTCCAAACAGAGACATAGATAACAGTCCAAACAGAGACATAGATAACAGTCCAAACAGAGACATAGATAACAGTCCAAACAGAGACATAGATAACAGTCAAAACAGAGACATAGATAACAGTCCAAACAGAGACATAGATAACAGAGGAGATAAGCAACTTCCTAGCGTGTTAAATATCGCGCATGTTTGTTAAACTTCAAACTTGTAGCAAGGAAAACTTATTAACCAGATATCAAAATCAGTAAAAAATACATTTTCTGAAAGCTTATGCATTTGTCTAAGTCTGCAGGTAAAAAAATTTACAGTTTCCATTTGAATAAATGAGAGAACTTCTTATAAATTTTTGTTACAAAACTATTCAGATGATGAAAAAACTGGCTTAGTGGGTATGTTCTGCTATGTTTTTTCAAAGCGAAAGGCACAGAAAGTTACCAATATTTTAACATGCAGCAATAGATAAAAGATTAACCTTTCAAATGGTGTATAATATAAAAAAGATCAAAGTACATCCATTAAGTTTTATTTGCTACAAAATGTCTAATTTTTCACTTTTTCATAGGCATGAGTGATATTTCAATGTAGTATACAGGAGCTGCTTATCTCTGTTATCTACATCATTCTCTGCTCCAACTACTCATTTTTTATCTGCTTACTTCATAGCATGCAAGTAATAGTGATTTAATTTAGTACATGTACCTCGGCTTCTGTGAAATGAACGGCGTCAGTTCCAAAGTAATAGCACGATCCACCAAATGCAAGCCATCCATCATAACAGCCGGTACTTGTATACCCTTAAAACATAAACCTAATTGCTCTCAAACGCACACAAATAAAATCATAATGAAATAAAAAGAAAGCGGCTTCAAAAAATCGACTTATCAGCCAAAAAATTTGTTTTTTTGTTTGGTTTGGCTTTACGACGCATAAGTATAATATAGGTTACATGGCCCGAAACAGGGAAGATGAATTAGTCAAAGAGAAATGTAAAAAAAAAAATCAAATATTTTATGCACAGTGTTGTTTTGAACTTTTTGGAAATACGTGCACTGTAATAACTCAGATTCAATTATTATTATGTGGCAAATAATTCTAATTTTATTTGAATGTAAAAAACAGTACGAGTTTACAAGATCTGTACCAGTTTAAATGAATGTAGAAGAAATTTAATTTACCTGTAATGCCACATAACAAACCTGACAAAAATTAATACAAAAATCATTTTTGTTTTATCTATATATATATACATGTAGATATACATGTATATGTCTAGATATCGTAAATTTTCGTACCGTTCTGAAAGACATACATGCATTTTCAAGTTTATACGCAGTCTTATCAGTAAAAATTTTGCAATAGTTTAAAGGGACTACACTAAGGTTTTGTGACATGATGGGACTGAACATAATTTGTCGAGATAATTGTTCAGTTTAATGTAGATAAAGACAAATAACTTGTGCGATAAATTTCAGATCTTTCGCCCTCTCCGTTTTACTAAAATAATAATTCTGTGACCAGAATTGAAAAACGTTGCAACGCTTTTCACTTAGATCGGCTACGAATTGCACACAGAAAACATTTTCAATTTGTTTCTAAGTATATTCCTTAATTGCTTTACTGCACATACATGTATTTCCGTTTCAAGTGCCCCAGCTGTTCTTCGTAAAAAATTCAAAGTTTATATTTTAAAATAGCCAACACAAAGTTTTATAAAGTTTTAACATAAAATTCATTTTTCCTCATATGTTAAGTAATGTTTTAGTAATAGATTTAGAGCATATTTGATGTTTAAAAACTGAAGAAAATAGCGCTGAATGTGCAGTAATGTGTCATAAAGGTATGAAAATGTGAATAAAGTAGTATTTTGACTTCGATACCAAATACTAATCCACTTTAATTAAACAAATTGCCAACGAAAAAAATACGGGTTACGGTGGCACAAAGGTGACATGTGTGTGTTTTTATTAATCTCGTGCGCACGAAATACTATGTCGTGGCCACGAGTTATTAAGTCGTGGCCACGAGATAGCTAAGACGTGGCCACGAGATACTAAGTTGTGGCCACTAGTTAAGAAGTCGTGGCCACGAGATAGCTAAGTCGTGGCCACGAGATACTATGTCGTGGTCACGAGTTACTAAGTCGTGGCCACGAGAAACTATGTCGTGGCAACGAGTAACTAAGTAGTGGCCACGCGATAGGTAAGTCGTGGCCACGAGATAGCTAAGTTGTGGCCACGAGATACTATGTAGTGGCCACGAGTTACTAAGTCGTGGCCACGAGATAGCTATGTCGTGGCCACGAGATACTATGTCGTGGTCACGAGTTACTAAGTCGTGGCCACGAGATACTATGTCGTGGCCACGAGTAACTAAGTAGTGGCCACGCGATAGGTAAGTCGTGGCCACGAGATAGCTAAGTTGTGGCCACGAGATACTATGTAGTGGCCACGAGTTACTAAGTCGTGGCCACGAGATAGCTATGTCGTGGCCACGAGATACTATGTCGTGGCAACGAGTTACTAAGTCGTGGGAACAAGATAGCTAAGTAGTGGCCACGAGGTACTATGTCGTGGCCACGAGTTACTAAGTCGTGGCCACGAGATAGCTAAGTCGTGGCCACGAGATACTATGTCGTGGTCACGAGTTACTAAGTCGTGGCCACGAGATACTATGTCGTGGCCACGAGTAACTAAGTAGTGGCCACGCGATAGCTAAGTCGTGGCCACGAGATAGCTAAGTTGTGGCCACGAGATACTATGTAGTGGCCACGAGTTACTAAGTCGTGGCCACGAGATAGCTATGTCGTGGCCACGAGATACTATGTCGTGGCAACGAGTTACTAAGTCGTGGGAACAAGATAGCTAAGTAGTGGCCACGAGGTACTATTTCGTGGCCACGAGTTACTAAGTCGTGGGAACGAGATAGCTGAGTCGTGGCCACGAGATACTATGTCGTGGCCACGAGTGACTAAGTCGTGGTCACGACATAGCTCAGTCGTTTCCACGAGATACTATGTCGTGGTCACGAATTACTTAGTCGTGGCCACGAGTTACTAAGTCGTGGTCATGAGATAGCTAAGTCGTGGCCACGAGATACTATGTCGTGGCCACGAGTTACTAAGTCGTGGCCGAGAGATAGCTATATAACTCGTGGCCACGAGATACTACGTCGTGCCCACGAGTTACTAAGTCGTTGGAACGAGATAGCTATATAAGCCGTGGCCACGAGATTAATAACCAATCAGATTACATCATTTATATGAATTCCCCTAATTAACTAGACATGTGCTATAGTACAAGGATGCCCCTACTTCACCAGCCTGTAAAAGTGCCATTTATACAACATATTGACTAGTCTTATCGTCACTGTGACCCTGGTTTTTGACCCAATGACCTCGAAATTATTAGATAAGGTGCAATGATCTATCTTGGTTATATAAAACATGGCTTATCCCTTCTAAATTATTCATCAGACAAGGATTTTACCTAATAGGCTATCTACTGTCCATGGGCAAATGGGCAATGTCCCTTCCAAATAAAATAAACCAGAACTTATTCCCTCTCATGTTATCGTATAAACAAGGTTAACAGGCCCTAGTACGTACAAACTGACCAATTCCATCACAAAATTTCCCAACAAAGTGCTATAGTCAAAATAAATGTCTGATGAGCCTTCGAAGGTGACTTTGAATATACCTTAAGAAAAATTAAAAGTAATTTTTTAAGTTTTTTTAAAGTTTGAGTTTCATGTAAAAGTAAGTTTTAAGTTTAAAAAATGCAAAAATAACAAGTGATTTGTTTGGGTTTAAAACTTAGTAACTCGTGACCACGACATAGTATCTCGGGGACACACTTGCAATTAAAAAAAATTGTAAAGGTTGCAACGTTTTTCATACAAAATCGGGCTAAGAAAAAGCACAAAAAAATACGATTTTTAAATTTTTTCGGGTAAATTTTTTATTTTTATACCTTTCTGTATTTATAAAAGTGATGTTTTTTCAGAAATAAAATTTTATGTTTGAATTCTATTTTAAAAAAAATTTTGTAGATTATGGTAATGGTGGATTTAAAATGCTATGCATATGTAACATGTCTGTGCAGCCGGATCAGTACGCACATCTACTTCCAGTCTCGGCGTGCCATTTATTACTCTGTTGACTCAAATTAGTAGCCCGTGGTTCTATGATATCACGGTACGTCACGTTTATCGGAATATATTGAATACAAAAATCATTCATGAATGACTCTTTTAATATTTAATAATTGATCCTTTTCCAAAACTGGTTTCTAAAAATTGATGTTATTAAAATCTCTTGGACAAAATAATAGACCGTTCAAAATGAAGAAGAGTGGAGCACTTGCTTAATTTTAAGTGTTTAGCAGGGCACAAATTTAGGTTTTGGATGACCATTATTGATCATGCTTAATACCTTAGTTGAACCAGAGCCATAGATAGCTTTAACATATCTGGTTGAACATGTCCATCTTTAACTTTGGGCAAAACTATTTATCATTAAAAATAATTATTGACTAAAGTGCGAAAAGTGCAGACCACGATCAGACGGACGTGCAAGTGATTTAAAAATCTGTGCTACATGGTGCATTGGTTGAATATTTGCCTGTAACATAATATACATGAGTATTTATAAGGGGTAACGTAAAAAACGCTTTAAAATTTAAATAAAATTTTTTTTCAAAACCTAGCAGATATAATGTATTTTCAAATATAATTAAAAAAAAGCCGGTTTTTCATTTTTCTAACTTAAACATTAGGGAATATCCTATTGGCTCGCAGATCAATGCAATCCTCAGAATCTCAGAATAAAAACGAAAAATGTATTTATTTCTTTTATTTTATTTACATAACAATTGTTATTCATTACTAAAACGAAATTGTTTTTCAAAATAAAAGTTTTTTTTTCATCCCACTATTTCCGTCTCGGTGCTCACTCCCCTGAAACAATAATATTATTGTACATTTCAAGAATTCCCACCATGTTGGGAATAACGTTAAATTTGTTCTGCATTTATACTTCGTTTCAACATAACAGAATGACCATTTTGCAACTTTATAATAATGTATAGGTGTATCTTGAATTTGTGTGCATGGATTTTATGGAAACATTAAAGCAGGACGCCTCCAGATTCATGCAAATTTTCATAAAAATTTTGAAAATGTTATAAAAAGTAAAATATTGTCACGTGAATAAAGAAAATAATTTTCACGTTGGATATAGAACTAACAATCCATGTAAACCAGCAAAAAAAGAGGTCAAAATATGCAAAAAATAGCCCTCACTGCGTATGTAACGCTGTAGAAATATCTGAAAAATACTTCAAAATCGGTCATAAATCGCCGATTACATATAAACTTTTACTTAAGTCTTGAGTCTTTTTATTGTTCTTATAAATCGGAAGTACCTTTTCTCAAGTTTGATTTTTTTTAAATATTTTGATTCATCTGGAGGTATGCAGCTTTAAGGGTTACGGCAAATATTTTATTCGCAGTGTTTTGTTTTGGACTGCAATTACGAAACGTTAGGAATTATTATGTTACAAAAGCAATAAAAATCACATATTTTTTGTGTTTGAAAGTTAACCTGCTTCAGTGAAGTTAAAAATCATATTGCGTCGGTATGTACTTCAAGTAAAAAAACACTTACCGAAGTTCACAGATTGGGTAATTGTTGGAAATGCAAGTTAGGTCTGCCCATGTAAAGTCAAACGCCGTGTAAAAGACGGCACAATCCTCGGCCTTCCCGCCACTAGGCTCTACTGGATGCCAGTCTGTGTTTAGAAATGATTGATGTGATTTAAAAAAAAGGCAAGGGCATAAGTGCAAAGCTAGTAGACATACTTAAGTAGGAGAGCCCGCATCTTGATATTTTTAAAGGAAATAGTTCTACTCAATCAAAAAATATAATTACCACAGTGATGTTTTCACAAGATGAACATATACAAACATAGCCCATGTACATCACTCACCAGGTTTGTTGCATCTCGAAACAAGAATCTTCTAACAACACTGCTTAGTATATGTTAACGCAAACAAACTGAAGTAAACATGACTCCAGATACAACGGCAGAAAAATAAATGTATATTTAATACATTTGAACGAGAAAATTCTGCACAAATTTTCACAAACCGAACTAAGGTGGCGGAATAACGAAATCACGATGGTGAATTTCTTAATTTTGTGTTTTCGTTGTTTCGAGTTATGCGTGTGTCGCGATGGCCCTTACGGGACAGCGGTGGCCCCTACGGGACAGCGGTGGCCCTTACGGGACACCGTAAGATTGTGATTGTGACAAACCTGTAAAGTTGGCTATTTGTCCGTTATCTAACCATTTCCATGTGCCTTCAATCTGCTCATCTGTCAAACCCAGCCACCAGGAA